AGTTTGTCAAAAGAGGCACGAGGGTAGTAAATTGAAAACTGGGTTATGGATATGTGGAATGGGCTTAAAAGAAGTGGAGTCGTTTAAGATTGCAAGAGGAGTGTATGCCTGGGCTGCGGCTGGCATGGATGGACGAATTTATGACCAGATTAAAGTGGCATATAGATTTACAGTCAATAAAAATTTGAAAAGGGTGAAGACTAATTGAATTATTAACTTGTGAGACAAAGACTATGTTGTAGATAAATTTGAATATATAAACTAATGTTTGAAATAATTAATGCAAAAATAGTTAACTATAGAGAATAATGGATAAATATGTAGATAGAGGGGATAAGAGAGGAATATAGGCAGACGGAAAATGGGTAGGAGCAGCTATAGCCAGAAAATAGAAGCGGGAAACTCAAAAGATTTGGCCCTGCCTTGGGAAGGAGAGGAACTCACAAAGAAGGATGTATTTTAGCCGGCCCAAATCGAACGGCACAAGCAAGTCGCATGCACTGGGACCGTATGAGATGGAGGAAACCCTTAAAATGCTCTTAAAAGTAAGCGGAGAGAAGAAAACCAGTTTATTATTGTTGTCAGCCCTGGATGCTGAACTAGTAGATGACGCTGTTGTCAGGGCGGAAGCAGGAAAGGGCTAAGATGCCGAAGCCATAAGCAGTTCGATTACTATTGTAAGTGTGGCGATTATGGGCTGAGCAGCAGGAAGCCAAATAACCTAGTCTCCAAAGTACCATGGAAAGTAGGTTAGGTCGGAGGAGATAAGCCCAGTTGCCATAGCTCAAATGATGCACATATAATAGCCAACTTTAATGAGAGCCTCTCGACACAATATTGCAGCTGAATGGTTCATCTCCAAACTGTATCCTCCTGTTTGTTTCAAAAGCGCTAAAGCTTGGCCATCGATGCAAACGCTCCTAGCCAAAATTATAATTTGGCAAGATATGGATGCTTCGAAAAAAGTCAATGTATTAGAACGGGGGTAGTAATCAGGCCAATCAATCATGCCTGTTCATGAACCATACACTTATAGTATTCATAAAAGCATATCAGTTTAATATATTCATTTTATGAAGACTCCGCTAAGATTTAAAGTAATCTAAGTTAAGTGACCGAGAGTATGATATTTTTTACCATTACTCTGCGGGTCTTAAAAGCGAATATGTAACAACAGCCATAGTTACTGGTTTGTAAAGTTACCATGGCAGGATCGAGTTAACTTCTCATTTGATTTAAGCTTAATCTACTTTAATTTAGCAAGAGATCACGGGAGCAATAGTAATCCTTTTAAGGGGCATTTTTAAGAACGGAAATAAGAAGCATTCTTTTTCAAGGGATAAACTGTCTGTCATATGGTTTTACGGGGACTGATAGTGATCCTATCCATGATGAGAATGCATGATTTTACAATGAATTTCAATACTCACTGCATCTCAGAGGATCATCCTTGTATTTAGTGGATTGTATGTGCTACCTCTATTTGGTCTCAAAAACCGCCCCAGCGGGATCGAACCGTGCGTATAGACGCAAACACCTTATACACTATACCACACGAACCAAAGCCCGTTATATTAAACGAATGGGAACCTCGTTTTGGATAATATAATGAGGTGAATTTCAATGCAAACCGAAGCCTACTTCTCTAATCATTTTTTATTCTATTAGCAGCCAGACAAACACCTTGGCACTTGAAAAATATCATTATTGCGTCAGTACTGCTGCCATACAAAAGTGGCTCTTGTAAAAAATGGTCATCAAATGCCAGATTCTTTTCTAGCTTTGGTGGAGTACGGCATAGATGCATCAGTCAATCATGAAATGCAGATATGAAGACCAAGATGGTGTGGCCTATAGTTTAGTCTGAGTGTCCTTTATGTGTATAGCTTAGTTTGACTTCGTTTTCGCAACTTAGTCGGAGCGACAGGACGGCCTTTTGGGACGTAGGTAGTTCTTCGTGCTCTGCCATAGTATTCATGATGATGTCGAGCATCGGACCGTTGACTTGGTACATTCCAAGTGGAGAGATGAATATCATTAGGGTTTTTAATTCACCTATTGGAGCAAATAACCTCGCAGTATATGGCTCGAATCGCATTTACTGATGTGCTTTGTAATCTTGAAGGTATGTCGAGGTTTCAAACTGTCTATGTATTTCTCTAAGGTTGTCGCATTTGGGCCGAACATCTGGGCTAAACAAAGGAAAGGACCATTGATAGAATTTAATAACAGATCGCTTTGCCAGACTGAAAAGACAAACAGAATGACGAAGGAAAGTATGCCACACATCCATGTTAATCAACCCGACCGGTTGAACTTACCATAGATGTACATATAAAAGCAGTGTGCGAGAATGGGTGACTGTATGTATGTGCTCATCATAAGGCCCACTCCCATTTCTAGCACAACCCCTCATTTGGACCGTTGGACGACGTAAGCCAGACATAACGACTGCAGTCATGCAAGCATTCGCTCTAGCATACAAACATATGTAGATACATGGGAACTTACGAAACATCAGGACATGCCATTTTTTGAGATTTCAACTCAAGTGTCGTCACGTGCGCGACTTGAGACGCCCCAGCCAACTTTCGGGGAGGGGAGGCCAGCCTAGGGAGCAGAGAGCAACCGAGGCCGGTGGGCCCCCGTAGACTGTAAATTGCCTGGTCCAGAGTGGGCTTGACAGAATCTGCAAATGATTTTAAAATGAACCAAGATCTTGCAGTCGAGGCAATGGGTTCGAGCAGAAGAAATGATAGGAAGGAGATACGTCTGGCGTGATGCAAGGAACAGACGGAGACAGCTCGTATGCCGTTCTTCTGCCTTAATGTCAGCATGAGAAGAGAAATATAAATATGGGCATAAGCACACTTGAAATGAGAGAAAGAACTGAAGCATACATGCATGTCCATACAAATGGGCCCAACCTGCACACAGATGTGTCTTACTTTCTACCCTGTATGACCACACGCGGTGTCATTTCTCGCCCCAGGCATGGCCTGCATCACAAATGTACAATTAAAACTTCACCCGTCAAGAGGCTTGTGCGCTAATGAACTGACATTCAACAGCCGTGGCGTGGACAATGAGAACTGAGTATAGAGGGTTGGAAGTGGATTGGCCTTGAGGACGAGTTATGCGGTCTGAGGGAAGGGGTCACAGGGAAAAAGACCATTAACTCCACAAGATGACCACTCATCTTAACCCACTCTAGCATACGTTCGCTTCGTTTATGGTATAACATCAAATAATGCATATAATTTCCAGACGGTCCTCCAGTCGCTTCAGTCTCCCTCTAATTTCATTGGTTGTCTAGCCGCCGCCGATTCTAACTACTTCGCAGACCTCAGAGTTATAGAGATCAACAGACCCACCTATCTGCAATTTGGTTGTACCACTCGCAAATTGACTTAGAAGTGCTATTCACCATAAGAAGATGTGATTCAGATTCAAGTCATCCTTAAAGACGCATAACGGGCCTGAAGGATGAAATAAGTGGTGTAGGAGAATAAAGGGAAGAAAAGGGGACCAAGTGTGGTTGTACATTGTCAGAAAATAATTAGGCTTAGTTTCCCTTAAACTAAAGGAACCATAACTTTCTATCGTCCAATTGGCAAGCAGACGTGTGTATGTACGTTTGTAACTTTGAAGTTTCTTGAGCCAGTTGGCTAAAAGACATAAGAGTACACCTCCCGATGAATTTTTAGGAAACAAATGACGCTAGGGGGTCTACCAAAGGAGTTCGGATTAAGACATTTTGATCTAAGTGGCTCTAGAGCTTTGTTGTTTCGGTTCGTAATGGGGCTCAGTAGGAGAGACAGAGAG